CAAATGCATTTGTTACACACCACCCCTTGTGGGGCCTCTGCTGGGGCCACACTGGATAAGAAGCTACCTCTTAGTTTCTCTTTTTCACACTTGTGACCCTAGCCTGAATCTCGACCAGTGCCTTTGCTTTCTCCAAAGCTGGGCCTGGGTTTAGTGGAGTGATTTTGTAGGTGTTCTGTGAGACAACTCTGCTGCAACATCGGAATGGCTTCATGTCAGGATAAACATGTGGGATCACGAGCATTTCCTGGGCACCATGGTTCACTCCAAGTGCTCCTTGTTAACGTTGCTTGTCTACTCGGATGGTCATGTGGTTTATTGGTTTAAGACCATCATTAACCGTCTTGTCGTTTTTAAAAATGAATTTGGTGTCTGAAGCCTGTGTAGAGCAGGTGCAATTGATTCATAGCTAGGACAAACTCTCTACGTTGGAAACAGCCACTCTGGAAACGAGTGAGTGCCTCAAGTGACAGCCAAAGTTGACGGTGCTGTCTCCCTTCTTTTCTTCCGGATGAAAAAATCCATTTATGGCTGTGGGTGTTTTGAGCGATTAATTCGACCTATTTATGCCCTCTTGTTGTTGTTAGGGGTCATCAGGCCCGTTCTCACCCACAGCAATCCGCTGTACATGAGAACAAAACACTCGTTCGGTTCTGCGCCATCGTCACCATCGTGTGACCACACAGTCGCAGCCACTGTGTCAAACCCTCTGGTTGCGGCTCTTTCTCAGTCTGCGCTGACCCTGACCCTCCGCTTGACCAAGCATGAGGTCCTTCTCTGGGACTTGGTCTCTCCTGATAGCATGCCCCAAGTACTTGAGACAACGTCCCGCGAATAAGGGATAATCTGGCTGTATAGCTTCCAAGACAGGCTTCTTTCCCCACAGCCTATGGTTTATCTAATATTGTGGCCGACACCATAAATCACAGGCCCCCAGTCTTCTTTCTTTATTGCCCAGCTTCCACGTGCCTGGGAGGTGATTGGAAACACCAGGGCTGGTGTCAGCCCCCACCTTATTCCTCAGAGTGCCAGCTTTGCTTTTTCAGCCTTAAAAAGGCCTGCAAGCAAAGACTGCCTCTGTGCCTCTCAAAACAAAAGCGGAGTGCATTTGAGTCTTCAAAACAAGCACTCTGAGAGCCAAGCCCAAAGGCCTGGCCTCTTCTGTCTCCATTAATATCTTCCTCTCCTTGTTCTTCCCACCAGCCTTTTACAACTACGACGCCAGGGGCGCTGATGAGCTGTCTCTACAGATTGGTGACACCGTGCACATCTTGGAAACCTATGAAGGTGAGCTCATGTCTCCTGTTGTTGGTCTGTCTTTCCTTGTTGTGACCCGTTGGCACACCTCATCAGTGCCTATCCAAGGAGCCCGGGTGGTGCTGTGGGTGAGGTGGGCTTCTCACAGCCAGGCCAGCAGCGGTTCAGACCCACCAGCCGCCCGGCAGTCAGCAGCCCCACGTGTAACCACAGTGCCGCCAGCGCTCCCAGAGAGTCCCGTAGTCGTCGGCCTGGACATGCACTTTGCACAAGAGTGAAGAAGCACTCGGTGTCTGCATGCAGTGACGACCCCGGATCTAAGTTCCTGGTAGGCACCTCTGAGGAACACAAGCGTATGCTGTTGTCCCTGCATGCCATTGAGGACAGTTCACCTCAAAGGGACACCATGTCCCACAGAAGGAAGGACACCCTACCCAGCCCTGCCCCACCCTCACATTGTGTTAAGCCCATTGTTGGAGCCAATGTGTCATCCCGTCTCATGGGAGGTCTTTTCTTTTTCTTTTTTTGCAAAACGATTTCACAAACCCTTGTATCTTATTTTTAAAAAAATCATTTTATTGGGGGCTCGTAAACTCTTCACAATCCATACACCCATCCATTGTGTCAAGCACATTTGTACATTTGTTGCCCTCATCATTCTCAAAACATTTTCTTGCTACTTGAGCCTTTGGTATCAGCTCCTCATTTCCTCCCCCTCCTCCCACACTCCCTCCTTCATGAACCCTTGATAATTTATAGATTATTATTATTTTTTCATGTCTTACACTGACCAATGTCTCCCTTCACCCACTTTTCTGTTGTCCGTCTTCCTGGGAGGGGGTTAAATGTACATCATTGTGATCGGTTCCCCTTTTCTCCCCCACCTTCCCTTCACCCTCCTGGTATCGCTACTCTCATTGTTGGTCCTCGGGGGTTTATCTGTCCTGGATTCCCTGTGTTTCCAGCTCTTATCTGTATCTGTGTACATGCTAACCAGATTTGTAAGGTAGAATTGGGATCATGATAGTGAGGGGGAGGAAGCATTAAAGAACTAGAGGAAGGTTGTATGTTTCATTGGTGCTACACTGCATCCTGACTGACTCATCTGCTCCGTGAGACCCTTCTGTAAGGGGATGTCCAATTGCCTACAGATGGGCTTTGGGTCTCCACTCTGCATGACTTCTCCTGACCTAGAATTCCATTCCAGCTGTACCTTTGTCTCTAAAAGATTTTGAGATGTGTGTTGGGTGTGGGTGCCCGTATAGTGGAGAGGGTCTGGAGGGACCACATGCCTCTCGGTGGGCGCAGCCCTTGAGTGGATGTGGAGTGGTGATGGGTGCCGGATTCGATCATGTGTTGCACACTGCCAGTGGCTGAGGGGAAACGGAGCAGTTGAGTCAGACAAAGGATCAGGCCTCAGTTCAGACACTTCTCCAGGTAGGAGGAAGTGCCAGTCTGGCTTCTGCATTTCTGCCCCTGGTCAGTTGAAGGCAAGGTCCTGGCGAGTGAACTGTGGGCAGTGGAGGCATCCCTGTGTGGCAAACCAGGACATTTCCTGGGCTTGGGCATCCAGGACTGGCCGGTGTTCTTCTTGGTTGTATGAGACACACGTGTTCTTCAAACAGCGACTTGGTGGCTCCATTTCACCGTCGGACCTTTTGGCAAGTGTCCTGGTGGACATTTGGTGTTTTGGCTCTCCCCATGATAATGACTCTTTATTATCTTTATTATTGCTATGGGGTTGATGCTCACTCCTGGGGACCCAATGGGATGGAGGAGACCTGTCCCGGAGGCTCTCTAGGCCATCTTTATGGGGCTGATTGCCAGATCTTGTTCCTTGTGGAAGGAGCCATGGTGGTGTAGCGGTTCACTCTGGGCTTTGAACCACAAGGTCAGTGGTTCAAAACCACCAGCCGCTCCATGGGAGAAAGGCAAGACTCTATTCCCGTAAAGAGTTCTGGTCTTGGAAACGCACAGGGGCAGCTCTTCCTTGCCTAGAGGGCCGCTGTGATTCAGCATCAGCTGGACTGCAGCCTGTAATCTATTTTCTTCCCCTTCGTGGGCTTCTGAGTGGGTTCGAACCAGCAACCTTTTGGCTAGCAGCCACGCACATGGGCTTACCTCACTGTGCCACCTGGGCTCTGGGAAGAGCCGTTGATGAGCATTTATCTTCTGGGCTTGCCAGGCCTCCTGGATTCGGATGGACATCGTCCCTGTCTCTGAAAGGACTCTTCCACGTGCAATGACGTATCCCTTCTTTGGCAACTTTTGACTCTCACACTCGAAGAAGGGACAGCGCAGCCGGACAATGACCCTGGCCGGGGACCTTGTCATGCTGGCTCTTGTCCAGGAAGCACGCAGTGATGCACTTGCACCTGTGCCCTCTGCTCTCTCCTCTTGATCTCTGGAAGTTTCATGGATCATATGAAAGTTTGGTGTGCCTTTTCCCCTCCCCCCTTCTTTCCTTTTCACCCCCCCAGTATTCTTCTAGAAAATGTATTTCTGTTTGTCAAATTTAATTCTCTTCTTTTCCCCCTGTGATCTTCTCAGGGCATTCCTGAGCTTGCTCCAGAAAATGTAATTTCTAGATGATCACTCTTTATTTTAAGGCTCAGAGAACAAATTTACCTTCAAGTGGTGGTGAATTCCTTTCTCCTGGGCTCCCGATGGCTTGGCGCGTGGAATATAGAAAGGGTATTTTGGTGAGCACTTGGAAAGAGGATTGGTTTATTGTAGGCAAGCCCCTGTGCTTATTGTTAAGGTGTCCAGAGGTGAGCGAGCCCAAGGAGGTGTACTAGATGGGCCCTGTGTACCCTGGGTCTTCTCAGCCTGCTGACTGCTCGTGTCCAGGAAGGCCCTGGGGGCTGGGCCATCAGGTTGGTCCCTGCTGCCCCATGGCCTGTGCACAATGATCGACCCTGCCCCACCTCCAGGACCAGCTGGAGGCCATACCGTCTGGGTCCACAGAGTGGCTGCTGGCTGATTTTCATACACAGATTGGCAGGTCTCTCCTCCTGGTTATTCTGCCGCAGTCTAGCTGTTGTACTCAAAGGAACTCCAAGCAGGCATGGCACAACGATCAGGAAATTGTTCCTTTTTGTTTACTTATAGTAGCAGTTTCATTGACATGCAATTCACATATCGTATAATTCAATAGTTTAAA